TCTCACCAGGCTATTAATGCTGATTCTGGCACTTACATTTTTTAGTTTATAAACCTAAATATAATTTTTTATTTGGCTAATTAACTTTTTACTTTACTTTACTTTTTAACTTTTTTTTTTCAACTTAATTTACAAAAAGTAATATATATATCATTCAAGGGCTCCTCTAATTGGGCAAATGCCAAAATCAGATGTACAGCCATATAGCAGCATCTTAGCTGAGGGACAGAGGGGACTTCATTTGTAAGGGGTATAAAAGTGATCAAAAATGCTAACTTGCCCTATAAAGGGTTAATCTGTTATGACGTAACCACCCAAACTGATTCTGTGATCATTGTCGGGGTTTGTTTGTTTTTTTTCGCACTTTGTCCATCATTTCTCTTTACATCCCATCATTCTTATAAACTGTATGATATTTTTGCACGTTTGGGCTCTGCTGAGTCCACTATTTAATAAACTAACCTGACCAGGCAGGTCTGGTCAGTCCTGAGTAAACTGATAATAACCATAGTAACCTTACAGTAGTCGGTAGGTGTGTAGAAAGAAACTCAGGATGAAACTGCTCCTCTTCCTCCTTTTTCCTGATCTCTGTTCCTGTGCCTAATCGTATGAGTGGTTATCAATTTACTGATAATTGATCGACTGATTTAAAGCTGCTGCATTCACTCTATATTTGTGTTGATGTCAGATTAAGCTACTTGTATTGCTGTTTAAATCAGTGTTTTATTTGTTTCCTTGCAACCAAACGCCTCTGAGTGGCGCTTAACAGTTTAGTCCCTTAGTGTGCTGTAATGAGTCAAAATAAAACACTGTAAGCGAATAAAAGGGCATTATTCATCAATAGTCAATTAATGAATGGGTTTAACTCACTAATAGCTGATGAGTTTGAACCAGCGACAGTCAGCCAATAAATCAGCTCCTTTTACCCAACCACTGATCTTGACTTATCTATCAGTTGCCAATAGCAGAACAATCAGAATCAGAAATACTTTAATAATCCCAGAGGGAAATTACTTTTGTTACACGCTCCAGTTACAGTTGTATATAATATATACACACATCCAACTATACAATATAATAAAGATAAAAAAATAAGATAAAAAATAAGAATAAAAGTGATAAAATATATGCAAATATAGCTCTTCTGTATATATATCTGTATGTATATCTATGCATATGTAAAAACCAAATCCAAGTAAAGTGATAAATCCAAGTAAAGTGATACTTGGTTGTCTGAATCACTTGAGGGAGGCGTTATAGAGATTGATGACCACGGGTAGGAATGATTTCCTGTGGCGCTCTGTGGTGCATCTGGGTGGGAGGAGTCTTCTGTAATACCAACCATATAGAGCCAATACCAGTGTTTACTCACAAGCATGCAACCAATCATGGAGCTTCGCTTCTAAACGACCAGCCATTCACGGTGCTCTACTCCGAAACAGCCAAACAATTGCAGTGCTTTACCTGGAATTTAATTCATTTCAAATTTGTAACTAGTGTTGCACCGATACCAGTATCAGATGGGGCCCCGATTCAGCACTAAAATGGAGGTATCGATATTGGTGAGTACGGACAAATAGGGCACCGATACCATTTTGAGAACCAAAAGTTTCTTCAACTATTGTCATCCATTCCAGGCAGGTAGGCAATAAAAAGTTCTACTGGATTCACTTTGTATTAGTCTTTTTCCTGCTTCACAAAGGAAGGCAGCAGCTTGACATGAAGCCATGATGGCAATTATTTTACATCCAAGTAGTATGCAGTTCTTCATATATACACACACATCAATTTCAAACAGATGGTATCGGTATCAGCCAATACTGCACAGCAGGGTATCGTACCGGGGCAAAAAAATGGCATCGGTGCAACATTTGTAACATGACAGCTCAACTTAAGACCTCTGTGACCTCTTTTCATACGAAGTGCCTTGTCATCTCAAGTCATTTAAGCCTGGTCGTCTGTGTGTGTCGCCAGAGATATGCCCCCCAGCCCCCCGCCGCAGACACTCTGGTGCACCTCCCCAAAACTGCAGGTGACCGCCGCAGACAGTGCCACAGATAGAGTCGCAGGAAGGAGAGAAAGGAGGCCTCTGATTGGTCAATTCTACATCCGCTCTACACTATGCTTATGTCCCGGTACCTAATGGCAGAAACTCTGGCTGTAGTGCCATCCACAACTCCTGGCATACCTTGGGCATTATCCCAGACACTGTGCAGGATGCTAGTTTGTAGCACTGTGCGACGGCCTGTTGCACAGTGCTACAGAGCCATTACGTGTCAACGGTTTGCACCCGAAGGCAAAACACGCAGCGCCACGGCCAGTCTTTAGGGAAAACTCACGGGGGAACTGTGCGCCGTGTAGACGGCAAACAAGCTCGTCAAACTGACACACGGACACCCACAATCCTAGCTAGTTCGTGATTGTCCCTCTTGCGTTGTGGCGTGGAATAACATAGCCCAGACCACGCTTTAAAATTGGGCATAAATCAAAATACCTGCGACAAGCTCACTGCGACGCACTGCTGCGGGAGGATAACCAGCCCTTTAGTGTGAAAAGAGGTCCATTCCAAATTAAATTGGCCAGAAAATAAGCGGAAGATCAAATTTGTGACAATTAAAGGCATTTGATTTAATCACTAATAAATCAGCTCTGTTCAGCCAACCAGTGAGTGATTTACCAGCAGTAGCCAAGAGCAGCACAATACAAACCAAAGAACAGCCAATCCGAGACATAATAGCCTCATTTGGTAAAAACCCAGCCAATCAGTGATGTCACCTACAAACAACAGCCAATCATATATTAATCCATAACCTGTCAGCCAACCAGTGTTTTACTTTCCATAGACCTCAACTGAATTTTATTTATATTAAATGTGTATCATGTCCTCTCAAAGAAATCAGCATGAAAATAGAAAAAATTCCATTTAAATTGGCCAGAAAAAGAAAATAAATTCCAATACAAGGTGTTGGATTCACTCACCTGCAATCAAACAAAAAAAGCCCTATATAAGCTTTATGAGTTCTAGCGTTAATTAAAAAAAAAAAAATACTATTGCACCATCATATCTATTGTATGATAAGGAGATATTACACATAAAGCAGTTTTAAATGTTCTGTCCAGGAATAAAATTCATTATTGGGGTAAAAGATCCTGTAGAAAAGGGGACACACTGACACCTAGTGGACACAAACAGAATAAAGTTCCTTCTGTTCTTTGAACAGATTTTATTTGATCTCCCAGAGGTGAGGATGAGGATGAAGATAAACAGGATAGAAAATAATTTGCGCCTAAAGAGATGAAAAATTATGATGAGGATGAGACAAAAGGAACAAAGGAAAATTATTCACCACACAGAAACAACATGGACAAAGATCTAAAAAAACAAACAATTGGTAATACAATGAAAAAAAAAAAAATTGATATAAATCCAACAGTTTTTATTTTATTTTACAGTTAGTGTAATAATTGTAGAAGGTGTTTTTAAGTACGAATGGAATTTTTTACCCAAAATAATTTAGGAAATCTATTAAATGAATATTAATATATTTAAACATTAATAATAAGAACATTAATATTGATTCTTAAATGTTTTTTTAGTGTTGTTATATGATGCTGGTGAAGATTATCAGTCATCCAGGTCATAGTCAGTCCAAAAAGTAAAAAAAAAAAAAAAAAAACAATCCACTGGACTTTGTTTCCAAGTTTGATGACGTTTCGTTTCCCATCCAGGAAACTTTTTTGAATAGTTGATTTTTTATTATTTGGACAGTTGTTATATGATGGACTCTGAGCTTTTACAGCAGAACCTAAGCAGGAATAAACGGGTCAGATGAAGATTCTCCTGTAAGTTGAAGGTTCTCCTGTCAGCTGAAGGTTCTCCTGTAAGTTGAAGGTTCTCCTGTCAGCTGAAGGTTCTCCTGTAAGTTGAAGGTTCTCCTGTCA